CACTGAGCTCCAATGCCTCCGCTAAAGTCTTCTGAGCCACGAGCTCCTCCCATTGACTAGGAGTTATTTTGTCAAACTCGTTGAAGGGAGTTAACCCCTTTTGGATATACTTCGTGCTAAGCTCCGACCTCCAACGTCGCAATGACTCTCCCATCATCCTGATAGCATTTTTTTACCAATTCGTGCTTACCCTCCGGAAATCTAAAATTGACCTTCAGCTGCCTATCCCATAGTGCATTCTTTATGTTCTCTGGTACCTCTTTCCAGTTAGGGGTTGCTGGGTTCAATTTATCTCTTACTAGGGCCCCGATCGCATTACGGAATCGTCCTCTTAATTCCTTCGGCTCAAGGATCTCTCCTGCTGGCCCAACCTCCGTTATCACATAGCAAGCCTTATCTGGATATAGATTTCCTTTTCTATCCCCTCGTTTCCTCTTAGGCTTGGTAGTCGTGGTTGTGTCTTGAGTTTGTGGAGCAGAGGCATCGTGATCCGTCTCTATGGTTGTTGCCTCTCCTTTCCTCTACTCCGTCTTGTCCAGCGAGATGTCGTGGACATCGACATCGTCTTTTCTGAGTTTCAGGAGGGACCTGTATATAGGACAGGTCAAAGCTTTAGCAGAGGTCGAAAAGAAGTAGCACATGCGGGTGATGGCCATTTTCAAGAACTCTGGCTTTATAGCCCTGATTGCAATAGGTAGAAACACTGTCAGCATCACATGGCAATCGTGAGCCTTGCAGTGTGTTATTGACAAGTCCTTCATCGACACTAGCTTCTTCACATTTGCTGAAAACCCAGTCGGGACTTTGATCCCCCTCAGGAAAGTGCATATAGCTCTCTTCTCGTCTGGTGTTAGGTTGAAGCACGCCGCGGGCAGAGTGTATTTTCCATTAGCCTCAGGTACCGGGTGAAGCTGTGGCATCATGTTTAGGTGCACCATGTCTTTCCGTGCTTTCAGACCATCCTTTGACTTGCCTGTGTCCATCAAGGTAGCAATGAGACTCTCAAAGACATTCTTCTGTACGTGCATAGCATCAATGGCATGGGGGACCTCCAAGTCTAGCCAATAAGGCAGATACTGAAAGAAGATCGATTGTTTCTTGAAAGGTACGCCTTCGATAGGAGGTGTGCTTCTATCTCTGTTCGTCCCATCTGGATTCTTCTTTCCATAGACGACGCGTATATTTTTCACCATTCTGTACACATGTTCTCCGTTATGACGTCTCTCCGGAGGGGGTTCAATCTCCAGGGCGTTGTCATAAAATCTAAAGAACAATTTGTCATGCGGTACTTGTGACTTGTCTTTAAGAAGCGTCGGTTCCTTAGGTAAACTATCTTCTTGGATGCATCCAGTACACCCATGTAGTACCATCCAAGCAAACCAAGCATCCTGCTTCCCTTTGATCTGTCCCGCACAAAGCAAACAACGCGGGGTAATCATTGGTAGTAACAAATATTATTGCTCTACATATGAAGTCCTCCTTCGGAACGCATCGTACATCTGCTCCCCATGCCTCCATAGTCTCTCCATTTCTTGCATCAAGGGATCAAGGAACACGTCTATATCAATGCACAGTTGTTTAGGGCCGAGAAATAAGAATAGTGAGGAGAAGATACTTTCTCTCTCGACACAACCATGTTGGGATGTTGTACATGGTCAAGATCACCGCCATGTCTTGTGGTTGCTCATCCTCACATTGAAGGGATTCATTCCATCGGTGCTCGTGCCAAACCGTACATTCCTTGGGTCATCGCTTTGAATTCTTTGTGCTTCTCATCAAACCTTTGCCATCGACTACAATCACCAGTGTGCAATCTTATCATCATCCACCTTGCGCTCATCATCCCACCATGTCATGAGTGCGGCTTCTTTAGGGTTTAGGAACATACGTCTCAAGCGGTCGGTCACCGGCGGTACCACATTACTAGGGCAGAATTCTTCTCTCTTTGCATCGTTGCCTAATGGAGTGTCCTCTGAAATTTGAGATTCTTGTACCACCTTTTTGTACCCTTCTTATTCCTCTTTTTCCCGGTGGATGGTTCGTCCCCACCGTAAAGGTCATTGTTCTTGTACCTGGGCCGGCCCCACACCGGGACATTTATCCAATGACTTGAATGTTTCACCATGAAAAAGTATACGATGGTTGGGGCATGCATGTATTTTTCAACCCCATTGTCAATGGACTTATGATCTTCTTCGCTTGGTATGTGTTGGCGGAACTGAGTTTGGTTGTGGCGGCACCCATGACAGAGATGCAATAGATCATTGAAACTACAAATCGACCGACCATACTTAGCCTTCGGATGAGCAGCTCAAGCACGCAAACGTAGCAATGTCTAATGTGTCCGGACAACCCTTTTCAACACCATACACGCCTCCTTCGATGCTTTTGTCACTCTTTCCAAATTTTCTAGACCTTTCGGACTATTTAGTAAAATCTCCGGTCCAAGGGTTCAATCATGTCATCTAAATCATCTTCAACTCCGACACGTGCTCCACCATCATTATTGGCACCACCTTCGTCATTACCATCCCAACCACCAAAGATCACCACCTTGTTCATTGCCAAACTCGAAATCCATTTGTGCATCAAGCTCGGTGAATATTGGGACAGGATTCTATGGTTTCATCGTCAGATTCCTCCTCATCCTCGTCGCTTAACAATAACCGTTTCACCATGATGAATCCACAATCAGATAGTCCTCAACAAATCCTCGTATAATCAAATGTGATCTGATGATAGTCACATCCATCCATGCCATACGGTTCTTGCAATCTTTACAGGGCAAATAATTGTATCCTTATTCTCTTTCAATGTTTGCGCTGTATGCTTCGCTATGCTTCAATAAATTTATCCACCTCTTCACTGAAACCCCGCCTTGAACCTTAACGAACCATACATCCAAGAGTTCCTGTACTCCATCTTTTACAACAACAACAAAATAAACATTAAAGGACTACTTATTCAGATATATATAAAAATTAATCAAAGTAATAATTATTTGAGAATAATTGTATATACCTCAGATATATATGAATATAAATCTAATATAATTACATGAAGCACACAAACACACCATGGTAGAGGAAAATTAATTAATGGCCCATTTATCCATAAATAATTAAAATACATATTTATTGATTACAATAAACAATTTCAAAGACAACAATTAGCAATAATTATACTTTACACAATATCTTTCGTACAAACCCTAGTTCAATTTTATCAAACATAAATTTACAAAAACAAAATTAATAAAAAAACCAAACCCTAGATCTAGATCACATGCACATGAAACATCCATAAAACTAACTAATGGTTCACTAAAATCAAGAAACATGGACCAAATAAGGGTATGATCTTGTTTCCCTCCCTAATTTACCCTAGTACATTTAAAAGTTGGGTCTAATTTGCTCATAAATAGCTCAAGCACCATAGAAGAGAGAGAAAAACAAAACTCTAATTATTCACTAATCAACCATTAAAACTTCAAAAAAAAGTGTGGAATAGCATTTTCTTACCTTCTATAACCTCTCCACCAAAGGATTTGAGACCAAAACCTTCCCCTTAGTAGAGCAATTTTGGGAGGTGCCCAAGCCCTCCCCAACTTTCTTTCATAGGTTGGAGTGAATGACCCGGGAGGAAGAAGGTGCTTTGCTTCAGTTTTATATGGGGGTCATTTGTAGGGCGGTGGGTGATTGAGCCGCCCCTACAAATAGAAGCTATAATCGGGCCATTTTTAGGGCGGCTCAATCACCACCGCCTCTACAAATACTATTTCTAGAGGCGGTGATGATTGAGCCGCCCTAAAAAAATCATACTCCATTTGTAGGCGGCTCAGTATCACCACCGCCGCCCTATCTTCCATTTGTAGGGCGGTGGTGTGCAGGTACCCGAAAGACGCCACTGTAGGGGCGGCTCCATCACCAGCCGCCCCTACAAAAAAAAAATTGAACCGTTGCTACAAATCGTTTTCTACGTAGTGTACACGACATGATGGGTCTGATATACGGCCATGCATGCATGTGGCATGTCGTCCTCATGCGTAAGACGATGGGCAGTGCAGAGACGGTGACACCACGGCCGGAATGGACGATTGCGATTTTGCACAATCCCGGTGGTCCACGGCTGCGTCGCCGGCCGCGCGCGCCGGACGAGAGCGGAGAGCCCGCGCCTGGTGGCGAGAGCTAGCTCATGTGAGGAGGGAGTTGCTTCATTGATGATGCGAAGCAAGGGCAGGGTGGTGACGATGGCGACACAGCCACACACAGGTGCCAGCCTGAGCCTAGCTATCTCGCCGTTGCACGGTTGCAGGTTACTCAAGTCGCTTCAGCGTCCCATCTGCTATGTTTTTATTGTTCAATCAGCGTATTGACTATGCCATTAGTTACTGCTGCTTAACTGTACTGGTTCTTTTCCCCTAGGGGCGTGGACCTTTCATTGTGTTGTGTAGCGTCCCTTCATCACGTTGAGTCCAAACTAAAACGTCCCTGATATATCTTCTCAAAGACGTTTTGTTATAAAGACCTCGTCTCTAATATGTGCATATCAGTTATCAGAGCCGCGAAATAACATGTTATCCATCTCTAATGTGAGCTAACACGTCACTGATATTGTCCACATAACAATTCACAAATGTAAATATAAACATTTGTTTTTCCTCTGTCACTAATTTTCTGTTCTGTCATGGTGTCGCTCGTGGTGCACCATAGTGAATACAACAATTCATCGCTGCCCAACTCTCGGTTGGGTTTAGGAAACCTTTGCACCGTGGGTGGAGGAGGGATGCGGATTAAAAGGGCGGCGAGGGCATCGAGGCATTGACATATACGGAGCATATATATACCTAATGGGCTCCCCCAACATCACGCTCACGCGCCACCAAATCTAAGCAATCCAAGGCACAATGAAATTAGACAGTAGGACGTAATGAAGCCACGACAATCAGCATGCATCTTTGCATGTTCCCCTGAAGATGGTACAATGATCTTTGTCCATGTTTACAGGAAGGATATCAGTGCCTTCACAACCTTCTCCGGCCTGCAGATGATGTGAGATGCGTAAGGATGTACAGAGTCTAAAGGTTAGTGGATGTACACAGAAACATATAGTAGTTTATAATTCGTGAAACTGTATGTAAATGTGAACTGGCTAAACCCATTAAGCTTCTGAAAACAATTACCAGTCCTCTTGTGGCATATGACCAGCTCCTTCTATCGCCTCTAGTTTTACAACGCTGGGATTAGCTTTCTTGAATTCCTCAGCTATCGACAATGGTAAGTACTTGTCAGATATTCCCCATGCAAGCAGTATTGGTTTTTCCCAACTGCAACAAGATTATCATTTTTCTGTATCAGAACAGGAATACATTGTCACGGGTCCACGTCACTAGTATACATCGATTGCTTTATTTAGAATGAACTTTCTAATGCTCCTGAGCGCTACTCCTTTTGCACATAATAAATCATAGTCAGCCTATCTTAACTACACTAGATGCTCTTCTGCATATAGAATATGGATGCTTACCCGTTGGATGAAAATCCGGCCGAAATTCTACTTAGTACATCTTGGAAATCGATCTTCCTGGCAGCTTCAAGCAAAGCTAAAAGAAAAGGACATACAAGTACCAAGTCAAATTGCAAGACAATTGTAGAAATTTACAGCATTGCGAAAACTAGAAATACTGCAAATAGATTACTGTATTTATTCAGAAAACATTATTTTCGCATATAACATATATAGCAACCTAGTCTAGATTTGCAAGATGGCATTCATTATTCATGGCAATGCATGGAGTCAAGTGAAAAACTAATTAATTCAATATTTGAGGAGAAGTTCCTTTGATGATTGGGACAGTATACCGCAAAATATGTAGTGAAAACCAGTTACTAGGTGAAAACATGAAAACCAATTCAAAAAATGTATTTCGGTCATTTAAATTTTTTTGAAACTTGGCACATTCATAGTGCATACAAATATGTACTCACCAGAAAAAGTTGAGATGAAAATTCAAACTAGAAAAAATCATACAAAAATGACAATTTTATGAGGTTCATGTGGACTAAAAGACAAAAACCCATGAATTTTGCCTTTTAGTGTACATGAACTTAAAATTTATCATTTTCGTATGATTTTTTTAAATGTGAGTTTGGATTCCAACTTTTGCTGCGAGTACGTATATATTATCATCAATGTGCCAAGTTTCAAAAAAATTTGAACGACCGAAATACGTTTTTTGAATTAGTTTCCATGTTTCCACCTAGTAGGTGGTTTCCACCACAGTATATCAAATGGAATTGCAGAGGACTATATATGAAGCGCTGGAAATAAATAACCTGGGAGTATGGACTAACCAAATCCAGGAGCACCACTGGATAGATACGGTAACCTATATACATCAGCCTTTTCCAATTTCAGCATATATCTGCCAAACCAATGTAAGACAATGGAACATTTTAAGCCACTGTGAAAAATGAATGGTATCAAATGCAACATCTGACAGGACTGGCATAGTATTGCATCATATGAATAATGGACAAACTTGATTCTTCTTTCATGGAAGATGCACTACAGCAAGAAGCAAAGAGGCATAATGAACAGTGTTTCTGCGACAGAGATCACAGAGATACATACGCGCTACCTGCTTCAATGAAACGCTCAGCCAAAACAGCATTTTGACAAGTAAATTCACCAAACAGTGGCCACCTGCATTGAAAGATACCATAAATGAAAGACAAACATCAACTGAACATATATGTGAGAAATGATGACTAGAATCAGGGTCACCATGCTCCATCCATCTGTACTCAAATCAAAACTATACATGCAAAGACTTAACACATTAAACCGTGACCTAAATAAATAAGATAATCAACCTTGACCCCAAGAAAATTTTATAGAGTAGCATACTGTAACCATAAACATCGAAAATTGACAACAAAATGGAAGAGTGCAAATGCATATTTTAGTCAAACTTACATGCAAAAGTTCATATGTTATATGCCTATTAACATCACCAACCCACAAGTTTTGAACTCATGTCAACTTGTGGTGCGAAACGAAAGGTTTAGTGGAGCTGGTGTGAAATGAAAGGTTTAGTGTTAGCTCATGTAGTCATGTGGTGTGCTCATTTGCTAGGATGTATTTTCTTCTTCTTTTGTTGGCACTAGTCCTAGTGCTGATGTGGTGTGCTCATTGTTAGCCTGTATTCATATAGGGTGTGATTGGTTTGCTTGCACTAGGTCTTATGCAGGACAACCCAAACTAGTACATAGTGTGTTAGGGTTGATTGTCCTGCTGCACATGCATGCTGCGTTTAGTAAGATTGTCTTTGGTTACTTATATTTTATTGTACGTGGACATTTTTCATGTTCTAGTAGAGGTTGGGTGGGTGAGGAGATTCCATTTTTATGGGCCCTATAAGTTTGTGCAAGACTGAATCTGGTGTACTAGCTAATCAGTGCCCACTAAGAGTAGGAGCCAAGATGAGAAGAAATCACTAACTTTAGCTGCTGAAACAATCCAGGGACTGGAGAAGAAACTGTAAGTGGACTGTTAAGGATTGCTAACTTAAGGACTTTGCTTGAGTTATTCAGTGTCCATGTCAGCCCATAAGAACCAACAAGAAAGCCCTGCAATGAAAAGAAAGAAAGAAAATGATATATGTGAAGTGAAGATTTTTATAGACCTTGATTTTCATGAAAGTTACACATTTGTACCTGGACAACTAAGAAGAAGGGCTCGGTGATATTTAGAGTACCAAGAAGATCATCAAATGCCTTGTGGAATTCGTCCTCTACAAATGATACAATATACATGTGTCATTACCAAATTCCTTTAGTTTAATACACATTTTCCTGACCTTTAAAGTCGAATCCATATCCAGGTTGTGGCATTTCACTGAACCCAAATCCGATCCAGTCAGGTGCATAGCAGTGGTAGCCAGCATCTGCCATCTTTTAATTTCAAAAGATACTTAGGGGATGGGATAATTGATTGAAACAAAAGATGCAATGTGATTAGTAATAGTGTTGTAATGAACATGAGAGTTCTTAGGTTTTTATAGAAGTCGATAACTACAGTGCTCAGAAACAAATACCATATATATTTTGTCTTTGTTGTTTTTTGTTTTAGTAGCGCATAAAAGTGCACACATCTTTTTTTTTTTGCGTAAACAAAACACAAAATACATGTTCATTTATAGCTTCAAACTACTCAGATTGAAAAGGAGATAATCTAAATAGACCAACCACATCAAATTTTTTGCATACGACAATGGAAAGTTACTTAAGCATATATATTTCCTAAGTAAAAGAGTTGCAGAAAAAACTGTCAGAATCAGCACCCTATTCATAGCTGAGTAATGTACAGTACCAACGACTAATCATTGCATAGATTGTATTTATTCCAATGGTATAGGGGTTCAGTGAAGCAACCTGAGCCATAACCACGCGGTAGCTAAATGATTGACTAGGAGCTCCGTGAAGGAACACAATAGTCCCACGTCGTGCATCAGGTGACCCTACAATATATCAACAAGTACATGTGACCAACGATCGCATGAGCCTGAGTTTTGCTTATCCAGGGGTTACACATGAGGATTGTGGTTGCAGCCTTTTGGTTCATTTCATTCAGCAGTAGAACTAGTGGATGAAGTGAAATGCTCTGTTTTTCACTTCTGTTGCAGAAGCTTCAAAGAAGATGATGGGTTATATGACACTGGACAGTGGACAACAATCAGTATTTTGGACTCCATATATGACCTCAACAATAATCTATTGATCTTGCATGTAACATGCATTCGTGAGTGTAATACAGTACTACTACTTTGATGGCTGGGCACCATGTCAATGTGTATCCAATTGTTTTACATGTTGTTTGTAACGGTCTAACAAGGAACGGAAAGATGAACAGATAGTACAGTACCTGTTTCCCTGACGAACCATCGAAACTCTCCTGCTCTGACATACGAACCGTACTCCCTGCCCTTGTCTTCGATCCTCTGGACGCAACAAGTCGAGTCACTTGTCAGTTGTCACTACTAGTCTACTACCCACATATGGTTCCCTTTCCCTGCTCTGTAATCAGAAGACGAAGCAGGCAACAAGGAGACGAAGCGAGGCATGAGACATTACGTAGAGCATCTGGCCGACATTGCCGTCCTCGGCGGGAACCGCGGGGAGCTGGATGGCGCTGCGGCTGGAGGGGTTGTCCGTCACGAACCCGAACGGATTGAACGCCGGGGCGTCGTCTTCTCCCTTCTCCCCCTCCGCCGTGCCGCTCCCGTCGTCCTTGCTGCCCGCCGCGACTGTCGCGTGCCCGCGCCTCGGCCCGCCTCCCCACCGCAGCCTGCTCCGACCCACAGCAGAGCCACCGCCGCCGCTCCTGGAAGAAGCGGCGGGGATGGAAACGAGGAGGAAGGGCCCGGTGGTGGAGGAGGGACTCGCGCAGGGGCAGGGGCAGCAGCGAGACATGGCGGGCGGCGGCAGCCGGTGTGTGTTCCCTGCGATGGTGGTGCAGTGCAGCGCACTGGTGCTCGGTTCCCCGCGAATGAATTGTGGCCCCGAAGGAAGCGAGGCGATCGGTTGGACAGGTTGGCGTCGAGCCACGTGGCCCGTGGATTGGCGTGGGGCCGCCAGTTCCTCTTAGTTCGTTGGTCGTGTGGATGCGGATGTGGATGTGGCCTGTGGATGCGCGCCTGCGCCACTTTTATTTTTTGCTAAGGAAAAAAAAAAAAGAGATGAATATACTCTGCTTGCAGAAGAACCGAACAAGTGGTCTCGGTCTGGAGACAGAGACAGTGATAACTGCCAACATTCACCAACGAGCGGCGAAAGTAGCGGTGATGATGATTCAAATAACTATAGTGGAGTTTCATGCGTTCTCTTCCAACCGCCATATTTTTGCATCCCCACTCTATATTCGGCGATCCAATGTTCGATTTGATGATTTTGCAGAGCTATGACTAATGATGAACTCCGCTCATCAATTTTGCAATGACTTCGTCCTCCGCTTGACCCAATCCATTTTGTATCCCTTTCTTCGACTTGTCGTCAGGACAACTTGTGTCGACACAAACCAATGAAAACCAAAGAGTGGCATTCAAATTTGAGTTGAAGCATATTTCAATTTGGGCAATGGAAGTGTATACGATCAAATTGCCGATATTGAGAAATGGAAATGAGAAACGAAATAAAGTATATACGATTGGTTGTTCTTAGCATCTTTTTATCATGCACATGTGTCCTAGCTCATGAACCTCAAGATTCAAGAATGACACCATGACACAATATATATATATATATATATATATATTGAAACTTCCATGATACAATATAATTCTCGGGGAGAAATCCCAAAACTACAGCTAAGCTGTTTTGCCGATTGACATTGGTTCGTAAGCATCTGATGGCAATGGTCGCGACGACGGGCACTTGGGGGCGCATCTCCTGCAGTTTTCCCTGCAGGCCGCCCGAGAATCAAAGCAACGCTCAGGCTGATTAGTAGTGCAACAGTAGCACCAGACCAGTCCGCGTTATATCTTCTGCACGCAAAATATAGTAACAATCTTGCTACTGTTACTAACGCTCTCATTCAGGACGTTTGCCAAAGTATGATTGGTTGTAACAGTGTAGTTTCTCACTGTACTCTCAACCTGGTTGGGTGGGCGACCAACATCGCCGTTGCATTCTTCTAGCTAGCGCGCCCCCATTGATTCTTAGAGACTTGCTACTGTTACTAACGCTCTCATTTAGGACGTTTGCCAAATTTCTAATTGGTTGTCTCACACTAAACCAGTTTCTAAATAATCCACGTACTCTCAACCTGTTGGGTGGGCGACCAACATCGCCGAGATCTAGATAAGGTTGAGGACGAGTTCCTCGTTGGCTTGTATGGTATATATATAATATAGATCAGCATGATATATGCATCCATATGCAAAAGCTCATTTATATTATTCTATACATGTAAAATTAATTAGCACATCAGTTACACATCTAACTAGTGCATATTATTATCTATTGCCAATACTGTAGTATTCTTCTTTTAGAAAAACTAGTACATACAAACACGCAAGGGTTTCATTTTAGTCACTATTTAAAATATTTTAATCCAATATATAGTAGAAAAGTAATTCATTCATCCCAAATCATAAGATCTTTTGACTTTTATAGGTACATTACTTTTTACTATTTCATGTATCTACACATGGTGTATATGTAAGTATATTGATGAACTATTAATTCCGAAAAATATGAATTTCATACTAAAATTTGAAGAGCTCAACACGATTTATAACTTTCTAGTTAATTGGCAAGATTTTTGGGACTGTAAATAGTTTTGCAATTAAAATCTTGTCAATGCTTCTCGGGTCCGCCGCGCCGCGCCGCGCCGCCCCTGCTCACTCGCCCAGGGTCGCCAGGCCGCGGCGCAGAGCCTCTCGCTTGCTCGCCTGCTTGCGGTGTGGCCCCACCCGCTCGCACGATCAGGACCGAGCTGGACCAGATGGGCGGCGATTCCACGAACGAAGACTCACAACTACGCCACTAGACCTGCTCGCACGAGGTAGACCGAGCTGGAGCAGACATGCAGCGATTCCCCGGATCGGCGATGATTCCGTGGAGCAAGACTCGAATAGGACAAAAACGGCTGACGGCCACAATTGTTTTTTTATATAATTTGTTTTAGAATCAACGACATGATCAGCGGCATCTCTACGTCTGACTGGTACTAGAAGTAGCATTTTGTACAGTAGGGCCACGTTCGGCTGCTCATATAAGTGGGGCCGGCTTATTAGTTATAGTATAGTTTTTTTTTTCTCTCAACAAATCAACACAAACGGCTTATAGACCAGCCAAAAGAGGCATATATGAAGCATTGAACGAAGCCAGTACATTTCATGGACAACACACGTCTGTGTAGTGTTTTGTTGTTGAGGTGCGGTGTGGAACGGAAGCTGCCCGTCCGTCCGAGCTAGCCGATCGCGAGAGTGAGTGACACAGCTTAGCCCTGGAGATGGCCGTGCCGAGCCCAGAGACAGAACAGCAGCGCGGCAATGGTGGAGGTGAGGACGGACGCCGACAGGGCTAGCAAGGCTGACGCCCTGTACCCTGCTGCAGTCCCCGGGTGGCAGGATGTCGCACGCGCGCACGTCTCTCTCCAAGTACACCTGCACCGCGAGAGTGCACATGCCGACCGCGAACGTTAGGCACGACAGCACCTGAGCATGAGCATGCAGCAGGCCGATGCATGCATGCATGGTCAGTCACCGATAAGTCATACATATTACTACACTGGAAATAATCGAGCTAGAATATTGGACATGGGTGCTCACAAATTCGCCGCCGACGATCGCCGCGGAGGCGCCGCGCCCGGGGAGTGCAGCGTGGAAGAGGGTCACCGCGGCATCGTACACCAGCCTAGCTTGTTGCGCTTCAGATTAGCTGAAAGCCCAGCACGGCCTCGAGAAACCTGGGAAACAGATCGAACGAGGACAATATATACAGAGTCGATGAGTCAAATAAGTAAAAGTACGTATATATGAATGAATGTTTAAAAGGAACATGAGAATTGGTTACCTGATTGGGGTGTAGTCATCAGCATCCCTCGCTGTACTCACGTGGGCAAGAGACAAGCTGCAAAGCTCGAAGCGCAGTTGCAACCAAGACCCTGTGCCATGAAGAAAGCGCTGAGCTAAAATTTTATCTGCCATGTTTGCACAGATCATGCTGCAAACTCCAGTCTTAGCACCAACGTACGCACGGCGGTGTACTGCTGCAGATGCTATTGGTGAAATACGAGTGCGCAAGCATGCAGTCCGCTCACCTCATTCTCTGCTGACTGGGGCTCCGATCGCCTTGCTTGTCGAAGAACTGACCACGAAGAACAAACACAAGGAGAGCACCACGGGAAGTTGGCACGCGGAGGAACGGAGATCTATTTATATAGATAGAAGACGCCTGCTGCTGCAGGAGTGCGCAGGAAAGGTAGTGTGGGCGTGTCGTTCTTGCTTCGACACGGAGGTTGCCTGCGAGCATAAAGGTAACTACTGAAACCCTGCTCAGGCAGCCAAGCAACAAGCACCAAAAACTTTTGCCATGCCGTCGTCTGCGAGAAGTTTTCCGAGGCTAACCGCGCTGAGTAAGGCAGCGATGCTCGTCTAGAAAGCCATCCCATCTCACCGGTGCATTCATAATAATGGGAAAAGTAAAAGCACACAAGCACAAGCATAAGCATAAATGGGGTAAGTAAAATTCAAGTGGGGAAGGCAAACTCTCAGGATGCAAAGCTGTATCTCACGGTGGCTGCCAGAACGTACGTAATGTCTAGTCTATGATACGCTCAAGATCACTAAGATTTTCTCCAATCACAGTGTTCGGCTTCCTGCCAATCAAGACAAGTGTCACTCACCGCTAAGACCCACCACTTGCCTTTCGACTCTTTCAGTCACTAATTAAGGTGTCATCCGCTATGAAGCTTTCCCGTCAAGGAAGGGGTCTCCTCACCCCCGCACATTATGTCACAGCTAGCTACTTCACACAAACATCGGAGAATCGTCCATATCGCCTGAGAGGCACCAAGCCTCCAAGTATTCCTGCACACCATACCAAGATTACAATGGCATGCAGCCCAACACTCTTGCTTTCATAAGATACACTACTACTGTAGATATGATGGAGTCGTGAACTCGTGGACAGACATCAATAAACTAATTCCAGCCATCGTATCACCATAATTTATGTGTTTTTTCCGAGAACATGCCTTATCATGTATTCATGTGTTTCATTAAGAGGATAAAGGATTACACGACACGACTACGAGAGAACCCTTACAACTACCAAGATAGTGGCAAGCGACTTAGAACAAACCAAAGCAACAAGAAAAAGTGAGGGGAGAGGGATCCTGAACCCAAAGCCCTAATCGGCTGAACCTATGAGAAAAAAGAATACAATGGGCCTACAGAGAAGACAACCACGGTGGCGAAGCATTCACCAAGATAAGCCGAAACAAGCATGGAACAGCAACAAAGTATCCTCCATAGAAGAGTCCAAAGCAACCTCGATGGCAAAGCATCCGCTAAGGGAGAAGCCAACGCGACAATGGTGGCAAAGCATCCGCCAGAGAATAGACCAATAGCGGCCAAGCATCTGCCAAGAATGGTTTCGGCAAATTATCCGCCACGAAAGCCAAACGACCGCATCAAAGCTTAGGCCAGGAAGGATAACCCAAACAAGCATTGTAGGACAGGTCATTGCGAAGGAGGATGTGAAGCACACGCATGCACAATACAAAACTACCTTGAGGACCGACGACAATGCAACAAGGACGGCAGCGGCAACCATACAGGCCGGGTAACAGGAGCAGCCCAGATGGCCTCGGCAACCAGGCCAACAAGGACGACCGCATAGGAGTGTGCAGTCTCCAAGCCTTGTGCACACCGGGGTGAGGTGGTCTCCAAAGCAACGCCTCCTGG